ACACACACACACACACACACACACACACACACACACACACACACACATACATCAAAAACTAGGCAAAGACAATTAGTCACCCAAATGGAAGACTTCAGGACATTGTAGTGAAGAGGGGGAAAACGGCCTATTTTATTAACATCAGAAAAGTAACAGATCACCCCACTTGCTTATAGCCAGACTAAATGTTGCAGATTTGTGCCAAGGGAGAAAGCCAGAACAGTTTCTCTGTGTGAAGTGAAGGGTGTCACTGGGGAAGAGAAACTCACGATCCAATCCGGGGGGACTAGGCTGCAGCTCGATGGTGCAACCCTTCCTTGATGTGTGGTTCTCGGCTTCCATCCTTAGCAACGCTCCCCACACTCCCCAAAGGGAGGCATACTGTGTGAGTTTTCCACCCAAAGCTATAAATCTACTTGGAAACCGAGTGGTTTGAATGAGAATGGCTGTCTTAGGCATCTATATTCAAATGCTTGATTCCCATTGGTGGAACTGGGAAGGATTAGGAAGGGTGGCCTGGCTGATGTAAGTGTGTCACTGAGGGTGGGATTGAGGTTTTCCAAAGCCCAGGCCATCCTCAGTCAGCTCTCGATGTCCTCAGTTCTCAGCTCCTGTTCCAGCAACCATGCCTGCCTGCACCACGATCATGGACTCCAATTCTCTGAAACTGTAAGCAGCCCCCAATACACTCTTTCTTCTCTAAGCTGCTTTTGTCACAGAAAGACAGAGATCTAGCGCAGAATGGTTAAAGGCTCTAAAAGAAACTATCATGAAGCCCCAAATTCCCTGAGATGTTAGTTAGATTGTCTGTGTATAGGTCATCTTACACTGTTCAAGAAGCTAGTTGTAGCTGGGCAGGCAGGGTGGCGCACAACTTTAGTGCCAGCACTTGAGAGGAGGAGGTAAGCGGGTTTCTCTGAGTTCAGCCTCATCTGCATAGTTAGTTCCAGGCCAGCCAAGGATACATGAAGAGAAAAAGAGGAAAAAATAAATAAATAAAAGGAGTACTTCTCCTGCCTAACCAGGAGGACATTCCCTGAATCCAGCAACCAAGCTTTCCTTGGATGACAGCGTCCGCTAGTGGCCGGCAGGGGCATGACACTGTTACCAAATGCTTTCTCTACCAGCACCCAACTATTTATTTATTATTGAATTTGAGGCGGAGCCTTGCTACTTATCCCTAACTGGCCTCAAAGTTGTGGCAATCTGCCTGCCTCAACCTTCTAAGTACTGGGGACATAGGCTTGAGCCACCACTCCTGGCTAATTTCTAATATGTACACAAAATGCCAAGTCCCATTTGATAGAAAGTGAAAAGTCACTAAATCAGAGGAAGTGACACACGTTGTGATGGTTAATACTGACAGCTGACCTGGCAGGATCTAGAATAAGCTGGGAGACAAGCCTGGGCACAGCTGTGAGAACTTATCTAGATTAGATTAACTGAAGTGAAAAAGAGTCACCCAAGATACAGGGGGCACCATTCCCGAGGCTGGTGTTTCAGAGGAGAGAGAGCCAAGTACCACATCAAGCTCTTGCTGCCATGAGCCAAAACAAGCCCTCCTTAAGTGGGCTTCTTGTGTGCTGGCACACAACTCATCCCAGCACTCAGGGAGGCAGAGGCAGGCAGATCTCGAGTTCCAGGCCAGCCTGGTCTACAAAGAGAGTCCAGGAGAGCCAAGGCTAAACAGAAAAACCCTGTCTCAATAAATAAATCAATAAATACAGTGTCACTGGTATTTACAAGTACGGAAGAGAATGACCAGGAGTTAACGGGTAAGGAATCACACCCAAGGCACTGAAGTGAAAATTCACGGGTAACAATGGGCTCCTAAATGTCCAATTCCAATTGCAAACAGACCATAGCTGGGATTTGGGTGCAGCTAAAAATTTAGAAGGGAACCCTGAGAAGAACCAAGAAGCACTGGCCCCTTGGAGGGTTTCTCACCCGGCCTCGCTGGGTCAGGTCCTAGCAAGCAATCAGGACCAGGGACACAGCTTCGTGGTGCAGTGTTTGCCTAGCCTATGTGAGGGCCCTAGGTTCAATCGCCAACCGTGGGAGAGGAGCAGGGATACAGAACAGGTGACTATTCTGTCTGCCAGTACTCACTAGGGAGACAAGGCCCAATTGCTTTTTAGAGTTCTGGAAAATACAGAGACAGTCAAATACAGTTGTGGGCTAAGATAGGAAGGTAATGCAAAACATGACAACATGGGACGGGATTTATGAGAGGTGCTCCAGGAAGACAGAGGAGAGTCAGAGAGCAAGATGAGAGAGGACAAGGGGAGAAGACCTTGTCTAAAGCATTTTATTGGGAATTACGGATGTGACTCAGTGGCCAGGTACTTATCTAGCATGCGTGGGGCTTTCAGTGTGATCCCCAACACCTCAGAAAAAGGGGGGGGAGGTCAGCCAGTAAGCCCTTGCTGTGTTAAGCATGAAGACCTGAGTTT